CCCCAAAAGTCCTATGAGAAATATAGAATATAGAAAGGCACATGGAGGATGTTATGATTTGAATGTGTTGCCTTCAAAATTCAGATGTTACTAATGTGATAGTATCATGAGGTAGAGAGCCCTTTAAGACATGATTAGGACATAAAGGCTCCTCCTCTCACTCAGGCCTTATTAAAAAAAAGCTTCACACAGCATTAGGATCACTTGCCCTTCTGCCGTCCACCATGTGAAGACAGTGTTGTGTTCCTCCCCTCTGGAAGATACAGCATCAAGGCACCATGTTGGAAGCAGAAGGCAGACCTTACCAAACAAATCAGCCTGCTGGCACTTGATCTTGGACTTCCTGGCCTCCAGAACTGTGAGAACTAGTTTTTTTGTCCTTTTTATATTAATACGTTTATGGTGTTTTGCTTTAGCACAACAAATGAACTGAGATCAACTCAGTTCTAATTCATGAATAGTAATAAATAATGGAAAATAGAGTTTACTCAAGAATAACTATAAGATGTGAATAATATTTCCAAAAAGGAGATTCCAGGCCTAAAAGGCATTTCTGTTAAGCTCTATCAAGTAATAAAGCAAATATTTCAGTCTTACACAAATTCTACCAGAGCATATAAAAAGAGAGAGAATACTGCTCAACTCATTTTATGGGGCTGCCTGAACTTTAATTCTGAAACCCAAAAAGGTAGTATAACAAAGGAAAGTCTTAGGTCAATGACATTTAGGAACATAGGAGAAAACAATTCAAAATTTTAGTAATCCAAATTCACCTATTCATAAAAACGATAATCTACTATGATAGGATGTCTTTATTTCAGAAATGCAAAGCTGATTGAACAGGATAAAAGTATAATCAATCACATTAAATGAACATCAATCTGCTTTGTTTTCAACCCCAGGTCAGCTCTGTTGGAGATGGAAAATAAGAGAAATATGTGGTCTTTATTATTCAATGATCTGATCATCTAATTTTGGAGATAGGACTAAGCATAGGAGAGAGGACTGTGGTGGCTGCTCAGAACTATTGGGTCATTAGAAAAGTTATTATGTATTTAGGGACCAGAAGTTGGTGTAATGGCTATGTCGCTGGACTCCTACATAGTTGACTGTAGTTCGAGTCCTGGATCTGGTGGCTTAAACTCATGACTGGAGCGTGTGCATGCATGCCCAAGATCCCAAGAGGAGAATGGAGAAGAAGGAATTGCAGCATGATCATCCCCCCTGGGGGGTGATTTCTTGTTTTCTGTCTCTGTCTCTCTCTTTCTGGAGAGCACATGTGCCCTATAGCAAAAACCTCTCCCCCCCAAAAAAAAAGTTATTATGTATTTTTCTGTGTGTTTTTTTTTAATGCAAAACTGCATCATGACTTTTCTGATGACTCAATAAATCACAGCTACACACCTGTTAAGAAGCACCTTTAGGAGCTAGTAAAATTCTGCCCCCCCCCACCTTAAATCCCTTCATAGCTAGTCTAGCAAGAAGGAGGTATGTTTGTCACAACCAAACACTTTTTTTTTAATTAGAAACTTATATAAACTACAGTCCTACTGAAATAAACACATAGAGAACACTCCACACAATAGCAGAAGAATCTCCATTTTCAATTGCACATCAACAATTTTGAGGATAGGCCATATGTTAGGCCACAGAACAGATCTCAGTAAATTTAAAAATATTAAAATCTTAGAAAGTGTAGTCTCTGATTATCATGAAATGAGGCTATAAATTAACAGTGGAACAAATGTCAAAAATATGTATAAGGAAATTTAAAAAGAACTTAAAAACAACCTAAAGTTTAAAACAGAATACACAAGAGAAGTTATAAAACACCTCAAGAATTTCACATAATATATTGTCCTATAGGCATATTGCTGCAAATGACATAATTTTATTGTTTTGTGGCTAATACAACAGTGTGTATATGTATCACACTTTTTAACTTCTATATCCATTGTTGGACACTTAGTTATATTTCATGCCTTGGTTATTGTAAACAAGACTGAAATAAACACAAGAGTACAGGTATCTCTTTGACATACTAATTTTCTTTCCTTAGTGAGATTTCTAGATCACATGTCAGTTCTATTTTTACCATTTTGAGGCATCCCCATACTGTTTTCTATAGTGGATGTACAGATTTCCATTTCCACCCACAGTGTATAAGTTTCCCTTTCTCCTCATCAGCAGTCATTATTTGTTGTCTTTTTAAATGTTAATTACTTTCTAATCATTTTTCCATTTTATTTTATAATTTCTTATTCACACTTAAACAACAAGACTCTGGCATTTAATAGAAAGTGGTCAAATATGGGGGATCTATTCCTGAGTGAAGCAAGCCAGGATATGAAAGAAAGATATTGCATGTATCCACTTAGTATGTACCAACTATATGGTACAGATCAAAATATTGGAGGGCATAAAAGCAGTGAAAATAATTATAGATGCTGAAGACAGTATGGAAGGGGGGTGGAGGGAAAAGGGAAGAATATAGAGAAGTACAGCAAGAAAACAAATAGAGAGGCATGACATTAGTGGGGCACAGAAATGGTTTATTACCTGTTGATAACACATATGGTACTTTCAACTGGACTGGTCTGAGAAGTATTTCATGTTGAGTAAATTCTCTTCACGAACCAAATGATATATAGTTACTGAATGTATAAAAAAAATGAGAATTGGGGCCAGCAAGTGGCATGGTGGTTAAAGGCGCTGGACTCCCACATGGCCAACCACAGTTCAAGTCTCAGACCTGGTGGCTTGCTATCTCACTTTCTCTCTCTCTCTCTCTCTCTCTCTCTTTCTCTGTCTCTCTCTGATCAAACTGGAAAATAATAATGATGATAATAATAAATAAAGTTAAATAAAATAATTCTTTAAAAAATGAGAATAAATAATAATCTGAAAAAATGATGTAAAGCTATTTGATGATGATGATGTGGATAGTAATGTCTTTGTCTTGACTGATATGCATGGTAATCATGCTGGAAAAAGAAATGTAATACACTGTAAAGATATATGTGATTAAAAGTAATATAAAAATAAAAAATAAAAAATTTCAACCGATTGGGTGGATGTGTAGTGACAGCTCATTGTGGGTTTCATTTGCATTTCCCTGAATCCTCAATAAAATTAAGCATCTTTTGCTAAAAAAAGAAAGAAAGAAAGAAAGAAAGAAAGAAAGAAATTAAGAATTAATTTGTGGTGCGTGCGTGCCCAGGATCCCGAGAGGAGAATGGAGAAGGGATTGCGGTGTGGCCATCCCCCTGGGGGAGTGATTTCTCACTTTCTGTCTCTCTGTCTTTCTCTGTCTTTCTGCCTAGTGCACACCCTATAGCAAAAACCTCTCAAAAAAAAAAGAATTAATTTGTGTTTGGGACCAGCAGTTGGCATAATGGCTATGTCACTGGACTCCTATGTAGTCGACTGAGGTTCGAGTCCCAGACCCAGTGGCTTAAACTCACGCCAGGCATGTGTGCGTGCCCAAGATCCTGAGAGAAGAATGGAGGAGAAGGGATTGCAGTGTGGCCTTCCTCCCTGGGGGGTGATTTCTCGCTTTCTGTCTCTCTGTCACTCTTTCTGGCAAGCATACATGCCCTATAGCAAAAACCTCTCAAAAAAAAAAAAGAATTAATTTGTGTTCTTATAAGTCAACATAATGTGAATCCTGGGTGGGAGTGGGGAGGTGAGTAAACAGAAGGTGGCATGAAGGCCTATGGGTTATGGGTAGTGTTCTATTCCTGGTCTGGGTACTGAGATGTTTAGTTTGAAAATTCAGTGGGCTAATATACTGGTTATGTGTTCATTTTTCAGTGTGTAAATCATATTTAATAAATTAAAACTACAAGGAATTTAAAAATAGAAATTAGTTTCTGAATAACTTCTTGTATCCCACCTTACACACAAGCCATGCTTGACTAGCCTTGTAAGGTATGAACTTAATACATCTATGTTACATCTATGTGGAAATTGAGGCTCTGAAAGACTAAAGGACATACATATTGTCACATGGTTGTTAAGAAACAGAACTGAGAGTGACAGAGGTGTGGGGATCCCAGGGTCTTTGCCCATAACTGGTGCTTTCATCCCTTGGAGAGTTCACAAAGTTTGCAAAGTCTATCTTGTTTTTCAGGAGCAGAGCCAGAGTGGGTGGTGAGAAGCAATGTCAAGGAGGTGGATATTTACAGGTTTTACTAAGCAATATCTGTAAACCATGAAGCCACGAGTTTGGCACGTGGTGGAGCCTAATAACTGCTATTTTTCCCCTCACACATCCCTTTCCCAGGGAAATGGCATGGGTAAGAAAGTTGGGGGGGAAGCGGGGGACCAACAGTTAGCGTAACAACTATGTCGCTGAACTCCCATGTAGCCGACGGCAGTTCGAGTCCCAGACCCGGTGGCTTAAACTCATGCCGATCGCTTGTCTGTGCGTGCCCAAGATCCGGAGAGGAGAATGGAGGAGAAGGGATTGTGACGTGGCCATCCCCCCTGGGGGGTGATTTCTTGAGCGCACGCGCCCTATAGCAGAACAAACAAACAAACAAACAAACACCTCTCCAAAAAGAAAAAAAAAGTTGCAGGGCATGGGGTCTGCAGCAACACTGCTCACTCTGTTCAGTGACCAGGCTGGAG